AATAATATTACAATCTACCTGCAATAAGCCTTTAGTTCTCAAAGGTTTATAAATTGGCCTATATAGATATAGCCTAATAATAATTATTGCATATAATATTGGATCCTGCGTATTTCTTTTGAACTATTATCAATATTATATTTAAAGTTCATAAACAATAATTGATATGTCGGATGTTCAATGCATACGTAATTGTTTTTATATAAGAGTGACTTACCATATCATAGATAGTGTTACGATATTATTGCAATAGCAATATGTCCACGTAATTAAAATGCCGCCTGTTCGACGCGTAGGCCTACCTAGTTTTACACTTTTATATAACCGTTAGTTACAATATCATAAATAGTAATATTTATTTTATAATAATATAATACTAAGTCCTAATACCGGTTATTCAGCGCGTGTAAGTATATATTTGTATATGGTGAACTCTAGGTATTGAACAAAAAGAGAGCATAGCATAGAAAAATGTTATACTGTAAAACGTAACAAAACAAGAGGAACGAAGTACGATGATTTATGTGGTAGTCGTCAAACTCTCGTCAAACAATCAATAAAGAATTATAGAATAATGTAGGCCTATAATCTACTGGAGCGACCAGAAGAAAAACCGTAAGTCAATGAGTATTTTGATTAGATTAAATTAAATGAATATGACAATACATTCGTACGATTTTAATGACCACGGAGCAATACTTACACAAAAAATACAACAAGAAAATCACCAAATTAAGAAAGATTTAGAAGGTGACGTCTAGATAAAAGATATTTTTAAAAAATCCATTTTTTAAGATGAATGATATGGAAACTAATTGACAAAAGCGTAATGTCGGAAAAAGACGGAAAACTTTGGAAAAACAGTTATACTACTGCAATTACAGTGTACTGTACTGTATTATTGAAACGCTGTCGCTAAATTCCCTGATAGGTAAAAAAATGATCTGGCGCCCTCTGTAGTTTATTAAGCTTAGCAATACCCATAGAGATATAACAAGAATACTAGAGCGCTAACAGCAATGTATTCGATGTTCGAAATACGCAGAGCTGTGTGTGTGTACCATCCAAGATGGCTGCCATAGATTCAGCCAATCAAATTTCCCCTGAGCACTATCATTTTCAATTGCGCCCTCAATTTGCACAGAAAGTTCAGTACAGCTAGTTACCCGTATTTTGAAACTCGAGCGTTGCGGTGTATGGTTGTAATGTACACGATTTTCATTCTTTTTAATATTTGAATAAGATGCTCTACTTGGCCTCTTTTTGGCTACGACAGTTTAATAATTTGTCATTATCAATACTAATTATCATTAATGAAATAATATTCAGTCAGAGGGCTTATTTATGGTAATAATATGTATATTAAGCCTAAAGTGGCGCTTTCCTACGGCAGCCATCTTGGATGGTACACATACACAACTCTGCATTGCTCCGCCATCTTGTCAGCACTCTAGTTGTTTAATAGCTCTATGAGCAATACAAAACAGTGTATCGATAGTTTGCGCCATGAGTGTTACTCCAACTGCTGTATAAAGAACACATGACCGCCAGATACTGTTGAACGTAAATCACTCCTTTCTGTTTTAATTACCGTAACTATTCATAATTAGTTTAATACGTACTTTAAATTAAAGTGAAAAAAAGTGGAAAATAAAGGGAATTTTGAATTGAATTCTGTAGATAGCGTACACTGGGTTTAAACCAAACAATATTAGGTAGCGTATATTAAACCGTAATTATCAGAATAGTATGACTGAAATAATATGACTGCTCCCGGCATTTGATTATAAGTATTTAAACGTCAATTATAAATTAAAATACTTTATTAATTCTATTATATTTATAGTTTATGACCTAAATACTACCATGATTTCTGGTTCTTGTTAGGCCTACCGGGTGTTTTGGGCCTAAGGTACGATGATGTAAGGCAACATCGCCTATTTTGAATGAAATTTTTTAATTTTATTTTGTGGAAATTTAAAAAAATCATAGGATTCCAGACCAAGTATACCTCTGAACGAATTTCCGCCTTTCCCCTTTCTCCGCCCGCCCATCTGAAATGAATTCTATTTTTTTTGGAACGGTTAACAGATTCTCTGAGATGTAAATATATCAGTATAACGCCCTCTATAATTCCGGTAATGTCACGCAATATTAATAACCTACCGTTTAGGCCTACTAAATTATGTAAATATCGTATTATTATTGTTTTAAAGAATATTTTAAGTTCAAAAACCTGAAAATGTTTAACCAAAACATTCAACATACAGTATGTATTATTCAATTCAATAACTAATTAGATTAGGGCCTAAATACCATGAATTGTAATTTTGTACAATAATTTAAAAGTAAGATCACATGAAATTCTAATGTTATTTAACAAAAATGACAAACAAATCGAACTTGAACTTTAATTAAACATTTATTAGAAATGAGTAAAATTATATTTCCCAATTAGGCTGCATAGTGGGTTTAACAACATAATAATTACGTCATTAAATCAACAGATTTATTTGAAATATTATCCTGATAAATAAAAAACCAGGCAAATAACAAGAATCAGAGAATAATATTACACGAGGAATAATAACATTAAATCTGAAATAGTTTGTCAGTTATATGCTTGAAATAATATCAATCTCATGTAAAATAACTTAAAATGTCCAAAAAATACTCCTAGATCCTATTCACTAACGTCCGTACTCAATATAATAGGGGCCTAGGCCTACATACAGATAGTAAAATGGTATAAAATACATTGGATTTAGATTAAACATAGCCTTCCGTATACTTATTTTAATTCTTAGTATACATGGAATATCATGGTACCAATACAAATATAAAACTCGTAAAAAAATAATTTCGAAAAAAATGTAAATTGATTTAAGTTACAGGACTAGGAAAACGCGTGCAAAATTAATGTGAACTTGGTTTGATAAAATATTATGAAATAATTTGTATTTTCTAGAAAAATATGTTATTCCTTAAATTCATTTTAATTCTGAATGTAATTGAAATGTCATAGTGTCAATAAAATTAAGAAACTTCAAAAAATCTTTCTTGAAGAAAAATATAAATTGAATCATGTAAACAAAAGTCAATCTAAATAATAGAAAGATGCATGCGACAGAAACCCGAAATATTTAACGGTTTGCTATTTATATTTCATTTTTTAACTTGATTAGTAATTCGATTGATTTTATTGAATGATTTTTAATGTTTGATGTGATTATGATGTGATTAAAGTGTGTTTGTAATGTATGTGTATTCTGTAGTAGTACGTTGTTATAATCGTGTAGTGTGCATTCATGTTTGTTTTCGTAGCACGGCTGGACGCCGTTAATGTACGCTACGTGGTGGATCGTACCAGACAACGTGTTGGAGATGATGATTGACGCAGCAACAAAGAAGATCATAGAACACGAGGACAACGTGAGTGAAATTAAATATCATTACATTTTATACAAACAATACTAAACACATATCATGTATACAAATCATGCAACAAACAAGTGAACATCAACTCAACGTAGATTACAGTGATTTATTTCATTCAAAACTATAAATTATGATTTTATTATTTGATTTATATGCATTTTTTAACTCTAAAAAGCTTATGTTATGAACATGATCACTATTTTCTCAATAAAAACTCTCAAAAAATATATTTTATAATGAGAGAAAAGTAATAATGTTTGGATTTGTTTTTATCAGTTTGGTTAACTAGATACATTAATGACAATAAAATTAATATTTTACATAAAAATTTCAATCACTAAAAATGTGAATTTATATTTATGTAATCTAATAATAGTGTAAAACATAGGCATTTTGATTCAGAAATTGTTTGCCCGATTCTACGTTATAAACATCATCTAAAAAATATTAAATTATGTAATTAGTATCTAATAATGACTCAAAGTAGATTACAGTGATATATTTTATTTAAAACTAGAAATTAGGATTTTACTATTTAATTTACCTGATTTTTTACAACACTAAAAAGCCTGGGCATGAACACTATTTACTCAATAAAAACTTTTAAAAAATATTCTTTAGAATCAGAGAAAGTAATTATGTTTGGATTTGTTTTTATCAATATAGTTTACTAAATATATTAATGACAATGAAATTGATATTTTACACGAAAAGTTCAATGGCTAAAAATGCTAATTTGAAAGAATATTTGAATATAGTGTTGATTCAAACATTATTTGCGAGATTTTACATTATAACCATCATTTAAAAAATAATAAATTATGTAATTAGTATCTAATAATAACGAGTGTAATAATTAATGTATGGGTGATATAACTGAGACGTTTGTTTTGAATTTTATGTGGTGTCATAGTTTCTTGTTGTATTTTGTTTTCCTGTGTTATAATTTTCTACTTTTCACTTGTAGCTGTGTCGAACTATTCTCCATTTATTGGCGAGGGACGCACGTGTATCAGCATTAAGACGCGTGCTGCAACAATCAAACATCAAAGTTAATGGGAGAAACGAGCTCGTAAGTACAGTGTAATAAAACAACACTTTTATTAATTGTAAACAAATTAACATCATTGAATTAACAACATATTTTGTCATCACATTCTATTTATTCATATTGTTGTATATTTTATAACGCGCATGATTTATATAAAGCTGACTGAAAAATAATAATGTTCCTTTCAGCATTATCATCATCATAAAATATCATTGTTATTATTGAAATGAATATTCACAAACATTCTCATTATCATTGCTATTAATATGAATAGTATCATCATCATAATTTGTTTAATTAATATTCTATTTTATATTATCATTATCATGTTTATAATGATTACAATGAGAAATAATTAAGTACGATAAATAATTATTTCAGCTGTTTTACGTCGACGTATTATTTGTAAATTTTATATTCTTGTGTTGTGTCTGTACTTGACAACAAACTTGACATTGATTATCCTTTCATTGCAGGATGGACAAACACCACTACATGAATGTCTAGATAATGAGTACTGCAGTTATGAAGAACACCGCAAAACGGCAATGTGCCTCGTGGAACATGGAGCATTATTAATAAAAGACAACGTAATGTACATATACAAATAAGAATGCATCATCAAAAGGATACCAGTCAATGGCTTTAATACAACAACTGTATATCAGGAGGCACTACTACTAGAAACATTTCATGTGTTTAAAACAAACATGAGAAATATCAAATCTAAAAAAAAATAAAAATATGTAATACCGGTACCCTACAAATATTTTTTTTTTATTATTATTTTGTACCAATAAATTTAGTGATAACAAATTATCGTAAAATTATCTTGATGCTAATAGTGTTGCTGTATACTTTGAAAATATTATTTTGCTATATTTTATGAATATTATTATTAAATTAAAATGTATTTATTAATTTTGATTTGGATTCTTTACACTAATTGGAATGTTTAATTATTCTTTTCATCATATTCAATTTGAAACTGTCATCGAATGTAATACAACTTTTGTGTACTCGTGTCTGTTATTGCAGAAAGGAAAGACGCCTCTTGATTTGTATGATAAGAATAAATGTTTTAAATACGGCGGTCGATCGATCAGACGTGAGAAGAAGGAAGAACTGAAAAAGATACTTTTAGGTAAATTGACAAACCCATTGTATATTTGAGAATTTAATCACCTGCGGTGTATAATAGTCTGTGCATGAACGCCTAATAAATATACTCAAGTTTTAAAGTTTGATTTTGAAAAAGGTTACAGGGCCCACACATTGGCATTTTTCCAATATTTTTTTATCTATATTGTTATGACAATGCTATTTAAAAGATTTATTTAATTTTTTTTTTAAAGTTATAAATAATGTAATATACCAGTACTTGAAACAGACATTTTTATTTTAAGCCATGACACTTCCTGCACAAATTAAAGCCAGAGGAAAAGATGCAGTTACTGCCTTCGTCAATGAAATTGAAAAAGGTGAAATGACGTTGGTAAATAGCAGAGTGATGTTTCTAGGAAAGGAAGGGGCTGGTAAAACCAGCCTTGTAAATTCCATTCTTGGAAAACAGTAAGTGAAATTTCCTTATTTTATTTCTATTTAAATAGAAAGATAGCTTGGTGTTATATATATCTTAAGGTTAAAGAAAGGAAGCTGACTGATTGAAGCTATTTTAAATTACTCTATTTCAACAATTCTAACTATAATTATGTGTACTTTTAATAATCTTTATTTGTAAATCGTCTCTTCATGAATGAAGCATTCCTTGACTGCTTTCAAAGATAATGCCACTTTATCGTTTCAAGCATGTTATTTTGCGCGTGTGTGTGCGTATTGTACGCTCGTTTGTTAAAAATAATTTATTAGGTAAAGAATGTGTTGCTAGATCAACGATCAACAAAGGTCAAATTCAATTAGGTCATAATATGCCTCAAAGCAAAGATATCTTTGCTCATACGTAGACTACGAGTAGAAACTGTAATAGAATTTTTCAACATATCGAAACATTTATTAACTAATTAATAATGAAAAATTATCTTAAGCTGTTTTATTTCGTGTATGTAATTATTATGGAACGTAATTCATCATCATCATTATTATTATTATTATTATTATTATTATTATTATTATTATTATTATTATTATTATTATTATTATTATTATTTAACAATAATTTATTATTATCACTACTTTAATATTAGCATTATAATTATAACTATTATTTTTCTTTTTCTTAAAACACAATAGATTCAATAAAAACGAACCATCAACAAATGGTATTGTAACAACAACGGTATTTCAAACTGGTGAAGACTGCAGCAAGTGGGAGGAACATAAGGATGTAGACGGTATGGATACCGTACTGGCGCGAATAAGCGCCCCGTTTGAATAAGTGCCCCGTCTAATTTGAATAAACGCCCCCTCAATAGCCCAATCAACCCTGGGACTGTGGATGTTGGCATGATTTGAGTTATAGTCAATATCAAAATGAGGATATTTATCTTTGACAGATGAGAGCTCCCTGGACAGACAGTATTTTTCCAACCTTCATCTTCTTGCATTTGTCTATAGCCTTTTCAAGAAAACCTAAAATTATCATAACATCCTGCTAATCTTAATCGGCCGATGGGCAACAAGCTAACCACTACCACTAATCTCATCTGCTATTCTGTTGATAATGTACTCACAACATTCTTTTCATAACAAGCCATGCTCTCTGGACGATTATCTTTTCCGCCGCACCATTCGTAATTTGCGGTTGGATGTCCTTATATAATCGTTTGTCATTTAAGAACCCCTTGATTTTCATCTATTTCTATTAGCGCCCCCTGTCCACTCTGTTTTCATAAGCGGCCCGTTCGAATAAGCGCCCCTCAAAAAGTGCAAAAAATATTTTAAGCGCCTGGGCGCTTATTCACGCGAGTACGGTAATAGAATTACCGTAAATACCGTATTCAAATAAACACCTGGGGAATTCATTGAAGGGAGGCGTTTATAATATTTTGGTGGAAAATATACGTACGTATATAAACTATAAATAGGTATGCACTAATAAACGTTCTTTAATTTCACAGTAAATAGGCCTATGCCAAATGATCCCAACAAGAAGAAAACATGTAATTTTAATTGGAGTAGAACATTTATGAGAGTGAGAATGATGTTGATTAAATTCGTTTTGTCTACAGAAATTCTAGTGAAGCGTTTATTTCAACTGAGACTCGCGGGGGTGGGGGTATTTGTGTTGGCGTTTTTTATAAGCTAGACGCGTATTCTAATAAATATTGTTACTTATCAAATATACGTGATCACAAATGAATGGATTAAAAATCAATATACTTAAGATAGGCCTAATAATTATTTGATTATTGTACAGTGTGTGAATTAACCAAGCAAATACGAGAGTATAATATAGCAGAACATATTGCAAGGAAGTTGGAATCACCAGAAAGCCAGGAAACCACATCTATGTCCGTATCACCCAGTTCTGCAGCATCTCCAATGGTATGATGATGAATGAATTATTATTATTATTTATTTTTTTTTTTTATAACGGTCCGATACCCCATGGGTTTGTCATTTTTTTTCATGACAAATTGTTTTTTTCTCCTCAATAAACTATACCTTTCCCCGCCCCCTTTCCTGAGTCCCAAACATAATGAGCTTGATGGAAGTGGGACTCTATCTACAAAACTCCTTAAGTGTTCCTTCCCCCCCCCCCCTTCAACAGTGACGGAAACGGGGGGGGGGAGGAGATTTTTTTACTCTTTGACCAAACCGATCACCAGTAATAAACATAGTTAACTAACACGTATGTCATTATTATTCAATATATTGTAGATTATTTTGGTCATATTTAAAAGTACATTAAAAGTTTTTATTTTCGAGTTTAGTGTGTACACATGTTGATTGGTGTCTGTAAATCAATCGATCAATCGATGTAACTTGAATAGCGCAAAATTTTATCACATTAAGTAATGTTCCGTGGTGCTGAATGACGATGGTGTAATTACAGAGTGCATAAAATGGTTAATCTCATTATCAAATAAGTTAAAAATGTATTTTTCTTATATATATATATTAATACATATACATATATATACATACATACAAACATTATATACATATATATATATATACACATATACACATACACACACACCCCCCACACCCCACATACACACAGACACATACATAATATACACATATATATATTTTCATTTTCATTGTACATAATTCCTTTCAATTACTATATCCTAATTAATGTTTACACCATTTCGTAGTATTTTTTCTAGAAGAGAAAACATTTGTACTACAAATACAAAATACATTATTTTTTATTTATTTATTTTTTTTTTTACTTTAAAAAAATAATAAAGTTCTCTAAAGGTTAATTACAGTTTTTATAGTACCAATTGTAATTAAAATGTGTTATATATTATAAAAACTGTATTGCATAATCGCTTGGCACTAAGAATTAGTATTAGGTAAAACAAATGATAGACTATGTTAAACGTTGAATATTAAAGTACCATTTCCGGGCATCCAAAAGGGTATTTTTTTAATTATTTTCAAGGTCCCCTCGTCTAACCGGAGAAGGTTTCGTCGTGGAATAATTTTTTTAGTATTAGGTCTAAACTTCGTTTAGGCAAGCTTCCTCATTGAGCTATTTGTGTTAATTTTCATCAAGGATACCCTCATAATGCTTGGAAAAATTTACTGTGATCGTGGAAGTAGGCTCAACTTGGACTTTGACATTAGACAATTATGAATTCATAATATTACATTAATTTGATGCCTATAAAATAGTAAAATTCATAAAAAATGGTCAAATATTCGAATCTTCCAATAAGCTTTTCCCGTTTACTCCCCCGGCCTAGATGCTCGCTATGCTCGCATACTGGATTGATTACCCCTCCCCCACTTTCTAAAACGTTCTTCTGACATTGATTCCATTATTTTTTATTCGTCGTCTATCAGTTTTACGATATTTTGTAGCTTTGCTATTTGGTACTTGATGTTTCCATATTTTTAACTATGCTAGTAATGTTTTATTATAAATAGAATATCTTAACAACATAGGAGTAACTAAAATTAATGATTATTTTCTAAAACAACAATAATTTACCAACTACTGTATTTCTACAAACTATTTTATGCAGGTAACATCAAAGGAAGCTAGAAGTCTAACTTCAGAGGAAAGAGGTATTTATTATTTAAGATCACTGTTCATCACATCCCTTATATCATTACAGGGTAATTGGGCTGTCGATAGTTTTTTTCACATATTTTTGTTTGTCTTTACATTGCACGTTGTCTATTTTCTAGTGCCAGCTAAATAAACTTAAACATTTCCCAGACAAGCGCGTAATAAAGTGGTCAGGCATCGTTCAAAAGGGATACAATGAAACAATTGAGAGATTTCAAAGGCATGTAAAAGCTACATTATATTTTCTTCTGACGATTGCAGTTTTTCTTTTCCCTCCCCCTCCTAATTTAACCAGCTTACAATTGAGCCCCTCCCCCACTTTTCACGTGTCCCTGTCATCCTCCTGTTGATAATCTTAGATCTTAAAATTTCACATACAGTACGGTACATTTTAAGGGGTAACATCATATTGTTTATAGTTATCTTATCATCTTTTCTTGTTTTTGCCATTGCTTATGATTTTCAATCAACATGATCATCATAATAATCATTTTTTTAAATTACACTCTCATCATTCATTTATTGTTGAATTCCATTGTCATCATAATAGTCCATCTTCACTCCAGACCATCTCTTTTTGACTTCCGGCTCTCAAAATTTATACGAGTTCGGATTTTATTTCCTTATTTTTTTTTTCAGAAACTTCTGATGTGTTTCAGAGCGCTGCAAACGTATCGTTCGATAGACTCCCAGAAGAAATTGTTAAAAAAGTTGTTGCTAAACTTAATCCTAAACCAAAACGCAGCCTTTTTAAAAGACTCGTTAAGAAAATAACGAGAAAGAAGACTACTGACAAAATACCGAGTGATGTAACATGTATATGGGATTATGCAGGCCAAATCTCATATTATATAACTCACAGGGTAAGCAGCATAGCACCTTCATGATTATATTATATCAGGGAATAGTTTAACTGTTTTCTGATTATACAAGACATTCCATCCAATATTATTGTATTTGTCATTGGACATTAGATTATCTGTATCACAAATAGATTTTTTTTTCTTTCACATGTGATGTTATAATAAAGGCGATTACTTACTAATAACGAAAAACTGGTCGTCTGAAATGACACTACGCACAAGCCTACCAATTGGTATGGAGTAGCACTTAAACTTCATATAGTGCGTACTCTATCAAAGTTTAAGCACAATCATAATCCTTCTATAGCCAATCACGTACTGTTCGATATTGAGAGTTCTGTAGGTGCTTATCTTATTTTTCTATTAAAGTTTAAAGCTAGGCCTACTACCACGTACGTACTATTTATTCGAGAAACAAGGCTACTGACAAAGTACCGAGTGATGCTCGCTTTGAAAGCTTTGTTCAAAACATTCAGAGTGATGTAATATGTATTATGGTATTATGTTGGCCAAATCTCATAATATACCACTATATTATTGTTTTTGTCACTGAACATTAAATTAGATCATTTGAGAGTTAATGGATGTTATATGAATGTCGGTGCACTATCATATAATGAGTCAGCAAAATCCTTTTAAAAATAGGAAAAATACAGCAAAATTACTTATTCATATCAGGGAACAGTTAAATTACAATTAAACTGTTCCCTGTTCATGTCAAAATGTATTAAAATAATATACACCCAAATATACAATGAAGAGTAACTAGGAGATATGGTTCTTCATTAGAAAACAAAATACGCTAATGCGACAAAAACTTTTATTAAACAGAGAAGAATGTTCAAATGGAATAAAGTCAATGATAACCCATATGACTTCTTTTCCTTTCGGTCCTCTTATAATTATTGATAATAATATAGCGATCGTTCTGAATTTAGTTGAGATAATACTGCGCATGTTTACTCAACAGCATTTAATATAATTACGCACAAAAACCAGAAACATCAAAATACAGTTGATACATTGATAATTTCATTTTCTTTTAATGATCAGTTGACATTTAAGAGATTTTTAACCTAATGTTTAATATTATTTTAATTAATCATACATGTATTTACTTTATTTTCCTTTTTAGTTTTTCTTGACAGATGGATCGTCATATGTCGTTGTTTTTAGTTTGTTTGAGCCTTTGAATGAATTGGCAAAATCAAGAGGTTCACTGAAAGTAAATAATTCATTTTACCTTTTCTAATGCAACAAAGTAAATTAGTTTCCATTATTTAATTGCATATCAGGTCTGTTTTTGTATATTATGTATGTTCTTATATTGTTCTTATATTTTGTATATATATGAGCAATTTTGTATATATATGAGCAACTTTGTAATATAATAGTCTGACCTATGACACTCATTTTCTTCTCTCTCTTTACACACCTTTATTCCTTTCTTCCTTTTTTCAGGATCAGTTTGAAATGACTAATCTCCAAATGATTATTTTCTGGATACGGTCAATATATGAGCACGCTGTACTAAAATATAATGCAAGTACGAAATTGATAAATGACACGATAGCCTCACCCACAATCAGTTTGGTTGGCACTCACAAAGACAAATTAAAGGGAAGTAAGAAGGATAAAAAGATTCAGGTAAGATATTACATCTCAGTTTCAGATATTTAACAGCAAACTCGAATTTTGTGTAATGTAAAAATTTAGAAAAAATTGTTAATACATAAAGTGATAACTTTAATCTCTTCGTAAACAAAGTATTAACAAATATTCCCCTTGTTGTAGAAAGTATCTATATCAATGGCCTTGATAATACTAATACCGTATTGTAGTTATTTAACTATAAATATATAGTTTATTAAAATTTTCTTTTGCAAGAATTTGCCTTTTCGAATATGGCGATGGCGATCATGACGACAATCACGATGTTGGTGGTGGTGATGATGATGATGACACACCCCAAAAACGAAACCTTGCACGCACGTGACTAAGTGTTCAGGATTATATCCACAACTGGAATATAGTTCTTCACAATCCTCCAACAAACAAGAATAGTCTTCCAACTATGCCGACCTGTCCGTTGAGTATCTTCACCGGACGAGTCAACAAAACGTCTTAAACGGAATATAGTTATGATTTACGGCAGTAGGCGGGGCCACCTGGGCTTGAAGTTTTTCTCCCTGTCTAAAGCTAATTTTATGGCTCTCCACCCATCTTTATTTACGCCCATGTCCATCATTAAAATCCACTTTTATTCTATTTTAAGTTTACCAATGTTATCACCCACCCTTAAAATTTATTTTATTTTCCAATAGCGACTAAATCACTGTCCTATTATTGAATAGGTGGCAATCCCTTCACATGACAAACATAAACACATGGTGCTCTACATAAACTCATAATGAGACTTATGTAGTGGAGTTATTTTTAATCGTGAGTGAAATATCCTGGGATCTGACAGGATTTGAACCAATGACCCTGAGATTGGAAGGCGAGCATCCAATCTATTCAAATCAACACCTGTCAACACAATGTCTACACCCCACCCACATTTTTCTACAGCTACTACCCTGCCTTCTAAAATTCTGCACTACAAAGTCAACGGCACTCAGAAAACGGGCTATAGGTAATCCGTTGTAGGAGGTTCCCCACTCTAAGTGATTGAATCCCAATTTTGAATTCTCTAATGTGTTTTACCTTTGTTGTTTTTGTAAATTTCAATGTATGAAAACACATGTAAAATGAAATTAGGCCCTATATGAAATTGTACTATTTAATTTTATTCAAAGATTGAAGCAATTTTCAAAATAATATTTGAAGAAATCAAAGGGAGGCCATTCGAACCTCACGTAGACAGAAAGATGTATGCTGTAGATAATACATCAGCAAATGACAAAGGGATTGAAGAATTAAAGAAAAATCTCGGAGGTTACACAAAGCAAATGGCAAAAACAGTTCCCACAAAATGGGTTGATTTCCAGTCGAAAATCCAAGAAGTCGGGAAAACAACACTGCGCATGTCCTTAGACGAGGTACCATTTTGTCATATTTATCCGAAATTTCCTCAGCCTCATAAACATTCTATAAGATTGTGGAAAAATGTTATTATTATTATTATTATTATTATTATTATTATTGTTATTATTATTATTATCAATTATTTTTTATTATTTCCACATCAGGGTTAAATGTAATAACATTTCATTGTCATGCATATTTTTATTTTGATAATATTTATATTTATAGACAACTATTAGAGTGTTTCTAATATTTTATTCAATATTTTTAGGTCACTGAGATTGCTAATGATTGTGGAATTCCGAACGACAACATTATCCACATTCTCAACTATTTAAGTGATTGTGGAATCATTATGTATTCGCCAACTAACATCAACTTGAAGAACACTGTGATTACTAACGTCCTCATGTTGATTGAAGTCTTCACGAAAGTCATCACAACAGAAGATCAGGTAACAATCAAGTAAACTTTGCGTGCGGGATAGACCGTACACATTTTAACATGCAGTATAAAAAATTACCATTTTTAAATAACACTCCTGACCAGTTCTAGAATACTTAATGTGTTTAAAAAAATGGAAAATACCAAATGGCATTCAAAATTACCTAAAAAAACTTTCCTTTATAACATTGTGTTTGGTGATTTGATTTATATTTAGAGACCTGTCGTGATGGCGTCAAGGCATCTACTTGATAAAGGCGTTCTGAGTGAGGCATTGTTACGTCGTCTGTGGAAACATGAGTTAGAGGAAGACGACAGCAACTTTGAAGTTTTTATAGAACTGATGAAGGTTTTTGGACTGCTCTTTGAGAAACAAAAAGTAAGTCAATGTCTCTCTGCTTATCATGTACTGAATATGAAATAAGAAATTCCATACGAAATTTTTAGTAGCCCCTGCTACCTTATTCGGTGTACGAGTATCGTATATTATTTCGTATATAAAAACAGTGGTGGCGCCAGAACATGGAAGTTGAGAAAGACAAAAAGGAGATGGTATCAATTTACGTGACTCCAACGGACTTCCTCCCTGATGCTGTCTACAGTGTATTAGTCGTTGCCTTTGTCGACTTGATCAAAAAGAAAGGTGGAAGCGATGATCCAAAATTGTTTCGGAACCGTAGCGACTTCGACTTTGATGATGATCACTTAGTGAGTCTGGGAGCCGTCAAAATCAAGAACATGCATGCATTGAAGGTACGTCATCTATTGTGTGAAAATAATAATACATGTTATTTTCCTTTACAGGTATTGTTAATTTGTTTCTGTTATGAAATTATGTATATTTTTTAGAAATTAAAAATAGGTTTTAGCATGGTATTAGTATTCCATAAAGCCTATTGTCATTGTTGTTATAATACTCTTATTACTGTATTATTATTTTTATAGATAATGAATTTCATCAGTCCAGACTTGTTTTTTTTAAGTATTATTATTATTATAAGTAAAAACACCACAAGGCACTTTATAAAGCAAGTAATAGACTTTAATCGTGATCGCGGACTCATCGAGCCCGATCGTATAGCAAACATGTTTCGAGAAAACGATTCTCATCATCAGTGCGAAAGATAACAAATTTTGCCAAAGCTTATATGGCCTTATACACATGTATGTAAATAAGCAGATTAGCAAATATAAAAACGACTAATGAAGTAAACCACAAAACGTAGCCAACTACCCGTCACTGCGGATTGCTATGTAAATTAGTACATAAGAATCAAACAGCGAGCGTGATATTTAAGTTGTAAATTTGCTTATTAAGGGATGGATTGTTCCAGGTAATATGCAAAGCTTCCTTAATTTTGAGTTTATAAGCTGAATCTGCAGAGTCAAGGACGGTGAAACATCTCTCATTAGCAAGATCCCGACAGCGTTCTGAAGCCTGCAGATGTTGAAAAATATGAGAATTCCCGTCCCTGAAGTGTTCTTGAACTCGTGTTGAAAGTCTTCTATTGGTTTATCCAATATACGTGGAATTACATCCCACACAAGTAAATTTGTATACAACACGAGCACGGAACACCTCGGGAACGGGGTCCTTCACTCCTAGAAAATTAGAAATTTTGAACGATTTAAAAGCCAGCTTAATTGCAATTCCATGACAATATTTACTAGTAATTTTGTTAATTCTGCTTTGCGTATTACGTGCAAACTGTAAATATGGCAATTTAAAATAGCAAACATTAACATTGTTATTGTCTTTAAGGGTCTCTTTAGAACCAGAACAAAGGGCGTGCAGCATCACTTAATTTTCTGTTAATTTTGTCATCAATAAGGTTATTGGGGAAACCATTTTTACATAAAATGGTTCTAAGAACTTCAATATCATTGTGAAAACCTAGCCAAGAATTATTTAACTTATATACTCTATCAATTAATGTGCGAATAAGGCCGTTTTTGTAAGATGACGCTGTAAAGCTTATGGGTCACCATGAACAAACTTGGCTAACTAACTTCACCCACACACCGGTTACGTTCTACCGTCGTTATGTTGATGATATTTTCTGTATACTAAACTCAAATGATCATGGTAAAAAAATTTTTAAATATATTAACAAACAGCACTCGAACATTAAGTTCACAATGGAAAATGAAATTAATCAACGACTACCTTTTTTAGACGTTTTGCTAGATAGTGGTGGGTCATTTCTGAAAACATCGGTGTATAGGAAACCTATTTTCACGGGACTTCTCACAAATTTTCTGAGCTTTACAGCTTCACGATTAAAGTCTATTACTTGCTTTATAATGTGCCTTGTGGTGTTTTTACTTATACGAAATTTTGGTGACATTATTATTATTATTATTACCAATAAAGTGCTATGTAAATTTTCTGAATTACGCTTTAATTTTGGTTTCTCTGTAGCTTGAAATAACACATCGGATTGATGAATATGCAAAAGGTGAACATGAAATATCAGAACCGCACCCGAGTGCCTGTATGGAGGTAAACAATAATAATAATATGTCCGTCTTATTATAGAGCCTCATGCATAAAGCCTCTAAGCGCGTCACATTACTACCCCTGTGATTGGATTGTATTGTTACATTCTCACTGTAATAAATCTTTGTTATGCTGTCCCACAATTCTTGTTAATCTTACAGGAAAGATTTGTAAAATACATGTATTCTTTATTATAATAATATAATTCTATAAAATAATAATAATGATAATGATAATAATAATGATATAATGGTTATAATAATGATACTGATGATAATGATGATATTTCGATGTGTGTTTGCGTCAGGAAAATATATAGTATTGACGATGACAAGACTAATGGCTATAATTCATAGGCATATGCGGTGATATGCGCCTATCTTGAAAACCAACATTAACTGTCATGTGCGAAAACTGTACAGTTTCACTGTCTAGCTTGCTACTACATACAGTACAATACAACAACACAATACAAAATGTATACTGTTCGTAATATACAGATAATAATATTTTTTTTTCTTTTATGCTCTGTAGGTATTAAACTATCTCAAGCATCAACTGAAGACTGTGTATGGTACAACAGTAGGAATCGGTTACGAGTTACGTGTCTTGTGCAGCGTATGTCATCCCACGCAGCCACCTCATTTACATACTCTTGAGAAATGTTTAGAAAACGACAGTGTTTCATGTGGAAAGTATAAAATGAATACATCTCGTTTTAAGGTCTTGTTTCAAGAAGGTTGGTTTATGTTACAACAATTTCTATATTCATTCTCTATTCAGTGTCAGTGTGTTGAACAATCTCTACAAAATATCTTTATTCATTTCTCCCTATTGGTTGAATTTATTCAGTTTCGAAAAACCCCTAATCATTACGCATAATAATTAAATAAAAGATAACAAGAAAAGTGAAAAATATATTTTTTTTAAATACATCTTGCTGGAGTACTTATATTGAAACAACATTAATCAAACAAATAATAATAATAATAATAATAATAATAATAATAATAATAATAATAATAATAATAATAATAATAATATAATAATAATAATAATAGTAATAATAATAGATGGATTTATATAGCGCAAATAAACGAAGTCTCTATGCGCTAGACAATAATGAAGTCAAGAACACAAAGAAAAAAGCCGGGAAAAAAAAAACACCAAGCTAGCACCCAATCCAAAGTATAAAACAAAACAAACAGTAGCTATAAAGAGGCAAATAAAAAGGTTTTGAGTCGCTTTTTAAAGATGTCAATTGACGCAGATTCACGGACTTCAACGGATTAAATATGTAGCCCTATCTGACCATCATTAAATGTACTTAATATATTAAACTGTAAGCACCGATCATTGTACATTTGGGGTGTTAATGTTAGCTAGCTGATGTTCCCCACTCTTCTCCTGTGTAAGACGTGATTCATGTAGAGCAGCTGTTCATCCATAAAGTACTGTTTGACGTAACAGTTTACCATTCCATTTTTAATTTCATGGATTTGAGCTTAGATTTTTCACACTTTGGGTCTCTGTTATCCCTCTGTCTATATTAAACAGTCTAAATCTAAATAAATTATCAGTTATTTTTGAAATAAATGAGTAACAACCTATGTGAAATACATATTCTTTATATACTTGTAGATATTCAAGATGCATCCTTGTCTAAGGATCTACCTCATAGGCCCATGTTCACAGATTCCACACATGTAGAGCGGATGCCAGGTAAATCGGTTAATGTTTTAATTGTAAAATAAGCAGACAACATTGTAAGCCCAAAAAAAAAAAAAAAAAAAAAAATGTTGTGTTGCCCTCCGCGACCGGCCGATTTTTTTTTTTAATCGGGTCGGCAATTTTTTTTTTTCATACAAATACCACTTCCGAAATTAACATTTAGAACATAAAATCTAAAACAGACATGCATTTTTATCAAAACCGGGCCATAGATGCACGCGTAAAATCGGTAAAATAGAAGGCATAATTTTGAAATCCGAGCGCGAGGACGATATATGCATACAACATCGGATCTCTCGCGCTAAGCTGTCAAGCCACGACCAGATCTAGGCCTAACCTATTCTTTACTACTGTACAACTAGTGGTTGCTTGAATGAAAAATCGTATTCATTATCTTACGGTATATTTTACAATAAATAAAAACAGGCTTAGGTCTAGCCATCGCTTTAAAACTGGTACATAGCTAGACGTTTTCGGCTCCGTTACGGTTTTTCTCGGATACACATATTATTTTACGTTTCGAAGCCAAATAAATCTTTCTTTAAACTGATTTATTTTTGTTAAATTTATTTCAGTATACACTTGGTCAGTATTTAATCGGTCATTACTTTGAATATTTTTTGTCAAGCTTGCCATCGTTCTATTGTGGTGCCTACGAGCTAACGAGCCCTTAGGCCTAGGGTCTTCATAATATGGACTGCAGTTTCAGGCCTGTCCTATTTCATTTTTCCATTTAAGGGCAACACAACATTTTTTGGCCTAATAAGTGGCTTTGTTCGTTATTATTCTCGCGGATCTTGCAGCATAAAGCAAGGAATTTATTGATTCGTGCACCTCAAATGACTTACTCAAAATGTAACAATCAACAATTCCTTTTTGTCAGCTAAATAATAAAATATTAGTAAAATATTCAGAGAAATACACCAAGTAAGCCTACTGTGTTCTGGAATTTAACCGGGGACAAAATGATCACAAGTCCAACTGTGCCATTCGCGCTAAATACTCCCTTTGCATTTACATTGACTTGCCCACTTATTTTGTAGCACAGTATTGATTTAGAGTGTCAACACGTGTTGTTTTGTATAATGCTACGCCAGCCTGTTTTTGGGCTAGATCGTTATATAAGTAATATTATTAGTAACAATATTACTCTCACCCAAACTTAATGTTTTATGTAAAATGTATAATAATGAAGATCTTTAATATTTCGATTAAGTAGTTAATAACAACACCAAACAAATACATATTTTAATTTTTTTTTTTTTAACAGAAGAGAAAGGATTTATTAGTTTTCATTGCGTATTTAAAGTAGGTGTATATTGTGTTTAGTGGAAACACTGTTTAAATGCCATAGTGAGTGCATTTACTTTGGCAAATCTTTAAATATATGAAAAAATATACATTATATAATCATTGAGGAAATACTATTTCCTCCATGATATAATGCAAATAGAGTACCGTATTAATTTCTAATGTTGTTGTTTTATAGAAATGTCAGGTATGCAGTTCAATGCTTTTAAAATGGTTGTCTCAAACTGGTATGATGAAAACAGATGTCTTAGTATGTTGAAAGTGTTGTTCAGAGGTATGATGGACAATGTGAAACTAGCAGAAATAAATAATACGATAGACTTGCTGAATGAATTGGTTGTACGTGGTGAGCTGAGTGCAGAGGATCCTACTCTACTGTATGACACCATCAGAATAACTGGACATTTTGCTCTTCAAAAGAAGATCCAAGAAACACTGCCATCATTCCCGGATGTTAAAGAAGGAACCATTTCAACAAGTTTCATTCCACACAGACAAAAACTAATGAAATTGGGGAAGACTTTAACTGCAGATAACGTGGCGCAGATCGACGGATTGTATAATACACCTCGTAAGAGGTATACCGACAGCTGG